AGGTCAATGTTCTATGTCTCCAGAAGCCATTTCTCACTCTCCTTCTCACCCTGAACATGGTCTCCTCTTCCCTGCAGACTTTATCACTGTATCTGTTGTAAATGGCGTTTTAGAGCACAAGGGCCAGAAGCACAGGTTAATAGAGAATAGGAAAGGAGTCACCAGAATGCTGATATCCAATGTATCCACAGATAGTGAACAACGGTGTACGGAGGCAGTGCGTTACCTGATGGCGGTGTTCCATAAGAGATGGAGAACTGACTTGCAGGAGAGCTACTCTCTTCTCCCTGAGCCTCCTCATGGGGCTGGGTCAATCTAATGACTCTACGTAAGCTTGTGGGCATTTGAGCTTCACTTCCCCTTTGGGAAGTCCCCATGATGTACAAACTCAAATGAACGAAATCTACGTGGCTCAGGGTTTTTCCCCAGCTAGCATGTCCTTGGAAGGAAACACTTCTAACTGCCTTGGCTGTGGCTTCATCAGGATGGCAGAAAGGGACGGGATCGCATGCCTGGACAACAAGAACTACACACAAAGCCAGCATACACACTGTGGAGCATTAGGAAGACAGATCCTATATTAACCTTTTAACACAGTGTCTATGAATTCATACATCAGAAACAAAGTGCTGCCTGAGAATATAAGGTCAATAGTAAGAGAAACTGCCCCTCAAATCTAAGGTTCTGGGTTCCATCCCAGGACCACAACCAAGTGAAATGAGAAGAGAAAACATTCTGGCTGAGCTGGTAGCATATACTCTGTATGTCCAAAGTGGGAGTTGGAGGCCAGAAGGTTCAGAGTTTGAACCCAGCATTGTTTACATAGTGACATTTTATCTTAGTGATGACAGTGGGTTGGTAGCAGGAGGAAAATAATATGAATATTAAATATCCATCTTACATTTAACCAACACCTCAGGATTTGGCTTCATTGTGTGTTGGGAGGGGGGGCGGTTGCACACATACGTGGGCAAGTAAGCACACATGCAGAGGCCAGAGGAGAACATCTGGTGTTCTGCTCTATATCTGTCTGCGTTATTACTTTGAGATAGCATCTCTCCCTGAACCTAGAACTAGGCTAGCAGTCAGAAATCCCCAACACTCCTCCTATCTTCATCCATTACCCCTCTTACTCCCCCCATCATGCTGGGGTCACAAGCATAAGCACAGCCATACCTGACTTTTTCGGTGGGTTCTGGGGACTTGAACTTGGATCCTCATGCTTGCAGAATAAGCATTCTCAACAACTTAATCATCTCCTGAAACATAATCTCATTGTTAAGTAGCTTTTTAAAGAAATAAGTTATTATAACTGAGCTTCATATGCCTCCTTTCTCATCCTGTTCTTCTCTGTCATTCTTACAAACCAAACACACAACACACACACACACACACACACACACACACTCCTGTGTGCTCATCCAAACTTAATCCAGGAGCAGCAGCTACCATTTCCTCGCACATTTTAGGACTTCACAAATACTATCAAATTATAGGTGCCTTCAACTTCCTGTCAGCCCATTCTGTGTTTCTGAGGATAACCCAAATGGACACGTGACTGCAGTTTGCTGTCTTTAGAACAGATCATGTTGCAGTATGATGCTCCTCATTTCGTTATCCATTCCACCAATGAGCAGTTAGATTACTCATAAGTTTGACAATTAAAAAGCATGCTGGGTGGGCTGGGAATATGAAGTGAGGAAGGCACTTGTTGCTCAAACATGAAGACTTGAGTTCAAGTCCCCAGAACCCACATAAAGCCAGACACAGGATCAAACATCTCTTAGACCAACACTCATGTGTTGAGGAAGAACACATAAACTGGAAGCTGACAGGTGAGTTAACCTGGGGTGCACACTGGTGCTAAACAAAGACAGTGTCCAAACAAAGTGGAAGGCAAGGGCCAGCTCCTGAGGGTGTCCTCTGACCTCCACACACAGATATCTGAGCTCACAAATGCACACATACACACACAGATACACACATTTAGCAAAGTGTTGAATTATCGTCCTTATGACATTACTCGTCTGAGCAGAACTTTCTCCAGGATACCTAGACATGGACTTGCTGGGTTCTCAGGCATGTACCTCATATGTATTACCAGTATTGCCAAACAGCCCCTCTAATAGCCAATTGATATTATTCCCATGAGTGTGGCCTATAAATAGCTCTTTCTCCACATCAACAAATTCCTTTTAGACTCCAAATGTTTTTAAGATGTCACAGATAAAATAATGGGATGCACTAGGCAATGATGAGAAAGAACTAAGAAATCCTTGCTCCTTGACTCTTTACTTGGGCCCCATGCTGTTCTGTGCAGAAGGCCTGTCTTCAGATGCATTGCAACACAATCCATTGGATTTCACTTTTCCTTATGAGACTGCTGTTTAGTTGTATCTCTCCAGCATTCAGCAGATGCTATTGTGCACACATCTCATTGCCTACAGCCTCCCAAGGAAGCCTTTGGGCTGTTTCTACCAGTGATTGACCATAACCTTTGCTTCTGTGCTCTTACCTTGTGAGACAACCTTCTCTCTCATGTGTTAACAACACTCACAGGGTTTGTGTGTGTTTTCAACTGGATGCTGGAAAAATCCAGAAAGGAGAGGGGGGAAAAGAAAGGAATTGCTCATTTCGAAGAAAATATCTGTCCATATCAAAAACTGAGAAAGCTCAAAGGAGGAGAGTTACCACCATCTTCACCTCCTTTGCACTTTCAGCCCCAAAGGCAAATGCTGAGTCTATGCAGACTGAATCAACTTTAGGTGAGGGCTTTGTTACAGCTGCAGGAGCTCAGCTCAACTGTGAACACTCTAACAAGAGCATAGGCGACTGTGGAAAACAAGGAGATCTAGCTGACCGAACTTCATTTACATATGATGTATAATGAACGAGGTACTCTCCGGGATGAGAGCAGGCAATGGACAGAGTCGGGCAGCGATATCGTCTACAGATCTGAATCCACTTAATTTTCTCTGCCAGTTAAATCCTGAAAAGGCAGGGAGAATATGGAGCACAGCAGAGAGAGGTGGGGAGAATCTCAAACACGATAGACAGAGCCAGCGGCAGAAAAGAGGCTTCTATTAGAGGTGAAGGGACACATAACACAGCAGGCACCCGGGAAGAGAGCTCCTCGACAGAGAAGGGGAAATTCAAAGTCAGGCAATATGATCTCTCCTTGCAGGCTGGAATTTCTAGGGGGTCTATGAAGGGTCTTCCTCCCTTAATTTAGATTTGGCCACTTTGAGCCAAAAGACAAGGAGGCTGAGAGGCCCACAGCTTTGGCGTACATACATCTTGATGCAGAACTTGTTGAGCTGGGCCATCATCAGGACAGCCCTACTGGAAGGAGCAAAAGACTGCCAGATTGTTGTCTTAAAGCTTCCAGATTTTTTTCCTCAGGTTGGAGGGTGAGGAAGAAGTTAGCCATTGTGGAGAGGAAAAAGTTAGCCAACTTGGAAATCCTCCACCTTTATTACCTAGTCACTGTTGCTCTGCCTATCTATCTGCCTACCAGGGAATCTGTCTAACTCTCGGTCCTGTGGTAGGTTATATACTGTTTTCTAAAGTCGCTGAAACAGATCTCCTGACCAGGAGATCGACAGGTCCATTTGGATCAACTCTTTAAGGGACATTGGTATGTTTTTCTTCTTTACCAAATACCTGTTTTAGGGTTTGGAGGGGAGTTTAGAATGTCATGGCTCTGTCAGTGGCAACAGGGCACAGATTGGAGCTGGTTCCTTGACTTTGCTGCAGAAAGGAACTTCAAGATGAGCTAGCATGGAAGGGAGTTGGAGTTTACTAAGAGGAATTTTAACTTCAATTTAAATATAAGGTGTAACAGACAAAGATGAACTCAAGGAGAGAATCACAGGCACCCAAAAGCACATGTGGGCTTCTCAGAGGAGAGTCAGAATTGTCTTTATATTGGATACTTGTGTATCTAATTCTGGTGGAATTTGAAGTTATCTTAAAGGGTTGCCAAGAAAGTTAAATGAGATTGCAGGGTGGTGGTACCCTAGCTTCAATTACCAGGATTAAAGCTGATAAGGTAACATCCTAGATCACATGGTTACTCAGGAAGTTTACTGTAAACAAAACTTAAAAAGAAGAATTGTGAAATTCTCAAAAATTACCCGGGAAAGAGGTAAACCCAAGCTTATGTCACACACACATCCAATCCTTAAGCAGGGTTCATCGCCAAACATTTTTATTTGAAATTAGCTCTGCATGAAAAGGATTGTAAGTGGGGGCACGTGAAACCACTGAACTGGACCTGTTTGTGGGTAGAAAGAAAAGTTTTTTGGGGGAACAAAATGCCTGTCTGCCTCAAAGACCAGAAGACAGCAACTTGGTGGGAGAGTCCGCAGGATATGACAGTCTGTTGGGGGATTTGAGCTGATACAAGCAGTCTGGACTGTTTGGAAGCTGGATGTTCTTGTCTGAGGTAATTGACCAGTTGGCAGATAAAGGGAGGTGGTGTCTCTCTTGCTAAACAGAAACCTGCCTCCCAAGATCCCTAAGCAATTCTGAGTTTAGGTTTCTGACTACCCAGAAGCTTCTGTTGACCAGTCAGGGTCCTTCTGTCTAGGGCGTTGTCACAGCTCTGCCACTTGTGGGGAGGTGGGTCCGCTGTGGACCTAACAGGAATATCATCTGCACGGCGGCAACCTTCGTAGCAAATGTAGCTAACTGTGCTAGAACAGTTGGCTCTCGGCTGATGGGAGGCTTCAGCCAGGCTCCAGTGAGGCACTCCTTCTCTTTTCCCTGTCCCCACCATTTCCCTTGCCTTCCTATCTGGCTGGCACCATCTCAGGCTGGAGAGACAACTCAGGTCCTAGTGTTTTGAACAGGACATGACATAACAGAGCAGATTAAAAAGAATGAAGGAAAGAAAAAAGAACAGGCTTGACCGGATGGAAAGAGCTTTCTCTTCCCAGGCCCCCACCCCATCCCTTGCTAACTCTCCCCTCTATCTGTTTGTTGGATGCACAGTTGCCCTTTCTGTTCCTTTCTTGGGACAGGAACTGGTGTTGAAGGAAGGGTCTACCCTTGACTACTTCAAGCCTGTAAACACCTACCTACCAAACTCGCTTCTCAGAGCAAACTAGTTAAGCCACTGTTTTTGCATTTGTAAAGTCTTTCCTTAAAGGGGCTCCTCAGAAGGCCAAATTTTCTTCCATTCAAATTCCAATGTGTTTTGTAGTCTAGGCAATTAATGGGTTTTGAATCTGAACATGAGGCTTCCCAAAGCAGGGCTTTCAGTAATCCCAGGTACGCATATGAATTCCTCAATGCTTTGATTGCTTACTTGTCTGTAGCCCCTTAACATTGGCTGGGTATAACTCCAAAAAATCACTTTGAATTCTAATCCAGTGGCTCATGTTGACAATGGGCACATTTGGCTGTGTAACAACAAAAGAAAAATTGCAGTTCCATTGTGAAAGAAATGTTGCCTAGGGTCCTGCTCAATGAGCCTTTGCCCAGGATGAGAGGCGATGGGAAGCAATCCATTCCCTGACCTTTACTTCCCATCCCACAGCGAAGAGTTCACCAGCTGTGAAATAATTCTTGTATTGTGTGTGTCTGTGTGTGTGTGTGTGTGTGCGCGCGCGTGCATGTGTGTTTAACAATATGGAAGCCTTCTTAGCTCTTGGTGAGCCTATCTCCATGAACTAGGGTACCAGGTGATCACAGTCACCAAAGCTGCCCCCAGCCTGTGGCTTTCTGAATTTGCCATCCCACACATACAAGGACAAGATACATAGGCAAGTCATGTGTAAAGTAATACAAGTGAGAAAAATTTCTAAGCATGCAAGGGGTTCCAAGAGGGAACCCACCATGCTTTCCTGCCCAGTTGTCTTTTATGGACATTATGGTAGGAACTGGAAGGAGTCTGAGGGGATCTTTATGGAGAATTGTCATTTCCTTTTTAGCATTTTTATGGTACAAACCAGTGATGCCTGCTTCCTGGGCCAACCATAGAGATAATTTTTCCTCCTCCAGTCAGCGGGGAAGAGGCTCATGACCCCACCTTGGGCTTCTGTGAAGGATGCTCACTCCCGTCTCCATGGCGTCTATACACGCGAGAACTATTTCATCCAGCACCCAGCAGTATGCTTCCGGCCACACTGGCTGCTCTGGTCCTGCTGGGAAAAGGTGACATGATACACTGTATGGAAGGAGAATAATTATTTTTCACTGATAATTTTGGACCATATCCATCTTTACTTTGCACGTTGACTTTAGAACCCAAATCTCACTGTAAACTCTGAAATTCTGTCAGTAACATTTCGAATCTACTCCATAAAGCCATACTATTTTTATCTGTATAAGGGGGAGAAAAAAATATCATCCCATTTGTTTCTAATGCTTTGAAGAAAAAGAAAAAAAAAAACACTGGAGGCTGTTTTAATTTTGTCGTTAAATGGAAGACTAAATAGAAGTAGGAGCTAGGAAACAAGATCAAGAGAGACAAGACCGCTTCTCTGAAAAAATGAGAAAAGAATTTTATTCTGAAATTTCCACATGGAGCCGCAGCTGTGCCGATAACTGGCTGTGGTCATGGCCACAGCATGGAGTTGTGTTTCTGGATTCTTTTAGTAAAAGGACTCCGTCCTGGTCTAGTAAAGAAGGGGACAGCAGGATCAACCTAGTGGAATGTGGGAGAAGCAGCAGGTAGGGCTGCTCTCTGAACGTGGTGAAAGGGTTCTTCCTGGGTGTGTCTCCTCCGCGCTGGATGCTGTCTAGGCAGGGGCGCGTGCCCATCCATGGCAGCCTTCTCCACTTCACACCGCCATCGGCTCTAAGCAGATGAAGGCAAAGCCGGTCATGTTTTCAGTGTGACTCTGTACCACCTGCTGGAACGAACCTTTCTCCGTCGTGTCTATCACGTCTACCCCCCCCTTTCTATCACCTCTGCCCAAGAAACTCCTCTCTTCCGGGAGATCAAACCCTAATCTAGAGAGTAGAGGCAGCCACCGACCTGACTGAAGTTCATGGCTGCTTTTCATATTCCAGGGTGGCCAGACTGTGTTTGTGGGGGTTTTCTTGCTTTCTAACTTTCTCTTACCATTTTTTTTAAAATAAATTTTCTTTAGTTCTATCCCTATAGTATGCACGTGTTTAAGGAATTAGTCTATTAAACACTTAGGGTCGAGTGTAATGGCTTGTGTGTGTAATTGCAACACTTAGGAAGCCGAGGCAGGAGAATCAGGTATTCAAGACCAACCTCAGCCATTTAGCAAGTTTGAGGCCAGTTGAGGCTACATGCAACCGTATCTCATAGAAGAAAACAACAGCAACATCCCAAATAGTTCCAATGATAATGTTATGTTTTTTTAATCAATCAAAATGGGAATTTCCCAATCAGAGCTTTGATTTGGGTTCTGTGGTTAGCGTTGTCATATGAGCTGTTGTTCCTTTGGGAAACCAAGAAACTTTCTGTTAGTAAAGAGGAGAGAGGCAGGTGCAGAGGAAGAAGCAGACATGAAACCAGGACTCGGAATGAGCTTCGTAGGGAGAAAAGGCCTTACAGCAGCAGCCAGCCATGATCCAGCCTTGACATGAGAGGGCGTTAGATAAGATGGAGAGTCAACCATGGGTGACATGATGGGACCTTGAGAGACTCCCTTTAATCCAGAGAAGGGCTGCCTTAGGAGAGACAGTCACAGTATAGCAAGGTGGGAGAGAGAAACCCTTCTAGACAAGAGAGTTTCTGACTCAGGTTTTTAGAGGAGTGAGCATGCTTCATGCAGCTAATCTGGCCTGGCTTGGCCTTCATGAAAAGTGGCCTGGGTCTGGGGGCACTAGGGGGAACCATAAACTTACCATGTAGCCTTGATGGGTAGGGGCTGTGGAGCTGAGAACACAGCTTATTTTCCCTCCTTCCTTCCTTTCTTTATTCTTCTTTTTTCTTTTCTCTGTGTAGCCCTGACTGTCCTGGAACTCACTCTATAGACCAGGTTAACTTTTAACTCAGAGATTCACCTGCCTCTCAAGTGCTTGCTTAACAACTCTGTCCCAGAGGGGCGTGGCCTGGTACCTTAGATACAGATATCAGGTAAACTTTTTAGAAACATAGATCGTTTCCTTTGATGAATGTGATGCACCACTAAAGTTCATGCAAAAACCCAGTCCATGAATGCTAAAAGGTGGTCCTACATCAGGGGAAACTGCAGAACATTATAAAATCTCTACTTAGGTCTCATCTTTTATGCATCCATTGATTCTTATATTTTATGCATTTCAAGCACCAATTACTCTTTCCAAAATCCCTTTTAATTTTGCCCTAGCTTCATACTGCACTGTTAACCAGCCTCTGTCAAAAGAACATCAAAGCGAGATTAGAGACATGCAAATTCCAGCGTCTGCATCCTTCTCAAAGCTCTGCTTACCATTCTGACCATGGCCACTCTCTTGGCATTTGCTTTTCATTGATATGGAACAGCAAGTGTCCTGGTTTGCCTTTTGTTGCTGTGGTAAATACCATGATGCAAACCAGCCTTGGGGAGGAAAGGGTTGATTCTGTTTAGAGATCATTGTCTGTCATTGAAGGAAGCAAAGGCAGGAACTCATTGAAGGAAGCAAAGGCAGGAACTCAGGGCAGGAACCACAGGGGAGCTGTGCTTACTGGCCTGTTCCCTCCGGTTTGTTCAACTACCTTTCTTACTTAGCCCACACCCACCTGCCTAGAAATGGTGCTGCCTACAGAGGGCTGGGCCCTGCTACATCAATTAACAATTAAGAAAGTGTATCAGAGACATGGCCATAAGCCAGTCTGACTTCAGGTGAGGTTCCCCTTTCTCAGGTGCTGCCAAGTTGACAGCTCAAGCTAACTATGACAGCAAGCGAACTTCTGATAAGCTACTGCAACAACTGGTGGATAAGGCTGCTTTGCGGATGACAGTGGCTTGGCTACCACATCGCTGAGTACTTAGCAAAGATACTTGAACTAGTTATTTGGCAATGTGAGGCACACGTCTGAATTAGATTACAAGAGAGAAAGTTAGGGCATTATAACATATTAGATAGGCAAGTGTACAGTGGAAGACACAGATTTTTTTCATAAATATTTCAACCCCATGTTTTTAAGAAGAAAAAAACAGCACTTAAGAGGCAGGAGAACAGGGCAGAAAGTGAGGTCCAGAAGGCCTGGAGCAAAGGCTCCAAATTAGCATATGAAAGACAGCGACAGCAGTTGGCGTAGAGGAAGGCTGGGAATCCTCACATTAAATCTGGCCATCAGTCAGCTGCAGATGAGTTCCAGAGTGTCTGAAGGTGACCGGGACTCTTTCCAGTACCGAACTCCACTTCCCTGGGTAGGAAGTGATTTAAGATGCTAACAAGGCTGTGATGCACGAGGCTGTTGGTAGAACTACAGAGGACACAGCTTGCACACACCATGCAAATGAGCTCGAAGGCTCCAGCAATGTGACAGACATCAAGGCCCCTGACTGGAGCTGAGCCCCCAGATGCTGCTAAGCTTTCTCTGTCCTCCCTTGGCAATGGATTTTTCTCTCTAAACTGCTTCTGTTTCTGCTCCTCTCTGCCTTTCTCTGTCCAGTTCCTGGTTCCGGGACCCAAGAACCTAGAAACCCTTTCTTGGTACCTGAAGTATCTCTAGGATACATATATGAGAGGCATGAAACAATTTTGCAACAGCAATCGGTGCGGTTTATTATTATCAAGTTTTTATTTTGTGTCCAACACTAAACCAGATTCATATATATATTTGTCCTAGTTGCCTAGTTTAATATTGTAAACAACGTTGCAGAATATGGATTGCAGTCTACAAAATAAATTGACTGTTAAGAACCAGGCTCGTCAGCTCATGCCTATAATCCCAGGACTGTGAGGCTAAAGCAGGATTGCCATGTACTCGAGACCAGTCTGGGCTATATCATCATGTCTAGCTAGACTGGGCTATAGAATGAAGCCCTGTCTCAAAAACTAAAAGTCAAGGTAAGCGGGGGAGGAATTGACAATCAGAGATAAGTAGATAATACCAGTACCACTTCAAGTCTGGCCCGTCTGTGCTTACGCCAATGCTTATTCGCCTCACAGGCCAGCCTTAGATGGTTTTCTTCCACACCACGTTCTGGAATGTTTGAGATGATGCCTCTGGTGGGTCCTGCTGTCGCCTTTGCCAACTGTGTTAGTGCAGCAGAACTGGGCAGCGGTGCCCTCCACCAGCTGGAGTCCAACTGGACTTGTGTGGCATTGGCGTGACAGCAGTGTGTTGTACTTGGGGTGGGCAGGAAGGAGGATGAAGAAAGAATTCCTCGCTGAGCCCCTCGCCTTTCGACCTACATCTTCACTGACTCCTACCCCAGTCTTTTGTTAGAAGTCACAACAGATGGACCCAGGGACAACATTGACAAGGCTGTGTAGCTAGCATGCTGGATCCTGAAACCTAGCTAATACAGAACAACTGTAGGCAGAGAAGAGGGATAGGCTCATCTCAGACAAATGAATGTCTAAATGCTACTACTAGTTTGTTTGTCACCAGTTTGCCAGAACTTCCTCTGTCTCATATTCATCAGTACACATGCACACACACATGCACACACACACACGCACACGCAAAGTTCCATGTGTCACACAGCAGTCTGAGCAGCCACTTGACCATGTTCCTTACATATGTTATGCCTGAAGAAATAAATATTTGTCAAATGAATATAAGATTTAACACATCGTTTAATAACCAGGGCAGCTTTATAAGGCATGAAAGTTATTTTGACGTAGGTGGAAGGCAGAAGTTGATAGGGAGCAGACCATGTTACGGAAGGAGCTGAACTTCAACAGCCTCAGCCCAAAGCCAGGCCCTGCTCCCGAAGATCTGCCCCCACCCAGAGACTATCCCAAGTGGAAGACTTTGCAGTTAGGTTCTGAGAATTTATTTTATTACATTTGACTTGGAAATCAATTCAATGCTTGTCACAGTTGCCTCGGAAAGTGGCCCCTGAGACAAAGATGAGAGCCATGTGGTTTTCTTAGAAGGTCATCCCAGGAAGAATGAGTAAGAGGGTGGGGAAAGGAGCCCCTGGGGGAAAGCTGCCCACTGTCAAGACGAGGACTGAAGGAGGAGGGGGCGAAGAGAACACCCCATGTGCGAACTGGGATGGAGCTGGAAATCCCCAAGTTATCC